TCGAAATAAGATTATTTTAAATTACAATAACTAGAAAATATTTTAATTAAATCAATTTTTAATTAGCTAAATATTTTTACAAAGTGGGTAATCTTAATTAAATAATTGATTAAGGGGGAAAAACCTGGCGGATGAGCATGATCCTGGCCCGATCCCCTCCCTACACAACCGTTGGCCTTGAAACAGCACTGAACCCAAGATTCTTTATGAGTTGTAGTGGTACAGGTTTTATTGTTAATGCTGATTTAATATATTTTACTAATTTTTGGTAATGAAAAAAAACAAAAAAAAACCTGTACTAATTATGAACCACGATGAGTCTTGGTTCCAGTACTTTTAAGGAAGTACTGTTTCTTGGCCAATGATTGTACAAGGAGATGATTTGACTGAGATCACGCTCAACCGCTAGGTTTTCCCCCTTATTCAATTGTTTAATCAAGGATACCCACTTTATAGAGGATGGTTCTGCCCCAGCAGGATCTACCAACCCCAGAGCCCACGGACAATGAAACGGATTAAATAATTCATCTATCATCAGTCGGGATTCGAACTTGAGACTCTTGAGCATCAGTAGTCAGCGTTCTATCACTGAGCTGCTCAAATCCCCTGTTGGAATAGAGTCTTTTTAAAAATAAATGTTAACAAATTTTATAAATTCTTAGTAAATCATTCAATACTGATTTTTCTCACATTTTTTAAGTATAAGCAATTTATTTTGTTTAAATTGACAAATATTTAAATCTATTATAAATTTAAGAGTTCAACTTAATGTTAATTCTCTTTTCCTTCCTTTTAAATATTAAAAGTATTGAGCCCTGAAATATATATATTTTTTAATGATATTTTAATATTCATACTCCACTTATTTTAATTATTAAAAATGTCAAGGACAATTTTTCTTATTTTTTGATATGTCGAATTACTATTTTTTTATATTTGAGAACAGTCAATATTTTTTCCATTATATTGGAACCACATCCCTAATGCAAATTAGTATAGATATACTATTAATATGTACAGAGTAAAGTTTAGATTTATCCCTATTCATTATAGTTTAACCTGAGTGATGAAAAGAACAAAAACAACTACAAGCCTTAGCATTGAAAAAAATGTATGAACTATAAACCAAATTAATGAAACATATGACAACACCAGACAGAGTTTATAAGAGATTTATCTTAAATGAGAATTATAAAAAATGGGAAATATATATATATAAATTAATGAGCAATTGGGTGATAAATAAGGAATGATTGTGATAGATGAGTAATAATGAAAAATGAACTATGATAAATTCATCACATGGCTAATGATATCATTGATTGGCATTTTCATTTTTTTTTTCAAAAACTTTAATATTTTTTAATCAGAATAATAATCAAAAACATTCCCATAAGAATAATAAAAAAATTATCAATAAAAATAATCAGCTGAGAAGAGAGCACACAATATTGTTATTTTGTACTATTGAAAAACTTTAATAATATTTAGTTAAATAATTATTACAATATCTAGCAGGATGTATAGTCAAAATTTTTAAATCAAGTTGCCACCCTTTCAACTTAAGCATGTAGGGTCATCATTATGGCTAAAAATAAAAAATGACATGAGAAATATAAGATATATATATATATATATATATATATATATATATATACACACAGAAGTATATAATATACAGAAGTACATAATATACAAGAGAAAAAATAAATAGTGCACCTAAGATAATAGTTAATATAATCATGATAGTACACCAAGAGAAGAAGACAAATAGAAAAGAAGAATGCATAAAACAAAAGTGAAGCTAAAAATAAATGGGACAAATTGGAATACAATAGAGCAACATTATACAATGAACTTAACTAAAGTAACAGAATTGAATAAGTGGAGGAAGATTTTTTTTATTATTATTTTCATTACGCAGTAAGCGCAGATAAGAACCATTTATATGATTCACCATTATGTCCCATGCCTTAAAGACATACTACATGAAATTACATTAGATTTACATAGAATCGATATATGTTTAAACCAAATTTGAGCAAAAAATTATATGAAGTAACAAATAAAACATTTAAAAGAAAATAAATAAAGTTAAAACAGACAAGCCAACAAGAAATTACTTACGCTGTCCATCCTGAGTTAATAAATCAAAGTCGAAAATTCTAATAAAATTATGAAAGTCTGTCATGAATTCAGAAAACAAACTTTGTTCCATATCAGGGCATTTTCCATCTTTCTTAATTATACTTTACATTAATTTAAATTGTTGTCTGTCAAATAGTTTACAGTCAAATATTATATGTTTACAACTTTGGATTTGTCCGTCTTCAACGCATATAACTCTTTGTATAACATTGCTCTATTGTATTCCAATTAATTTTTATAATTTAAATAATCATCTTACTTATACTTAAACATAGTTGTTTTATACATATTTCTTTTCTTATATTTAATTTTATTATTTGTAATATTTTTAATTTTATGTGAATTATTTGTCTTTTTCTCTAGGTGGTGTCTTATTATATTATTATCATCTTAGGCAGCAGTGGATCCAGGATTTAATTTTGGTCGGGCTTCATCCAGAAGGCTTATATATATAACAATATTTAATTAAGAAGAAAAAGAAAGAAACTAATTATAGTCCGTGGTATAAAACCCTTTTATCAAATTATTAACATCTGCCTGAAACTTATCGTAAGCTACAACTATTTTATTTATAAACATTCTTGGAATTGCGATGTTTTCAATCTGGATGTTGGCAAACTTTGCCTATTTAATTAGGTACTAAAAACTCGTAAATACCCATTTCTTTTCCACATGGATCATGAGATAATTTGATCACAAAATTGAGAGAATAGGTGGCTTACACAAATATTGGGCCATTTGGCCTATATAACTAACCTCGTTATTTTAATAGGTCAAACGGCTCAATATTTTTTTAGGCCACCTTTTTTCTCGATTTTGTGCTCAAATTAACTTACGATCCAAATAGAAAGCAAATAGGTATTTATGAGTTTTTAGTACCTAATTAAATAGACAAAATTTGCCGACATCCAGTTTGAAAATGTACCAATTCTGAGAATTTTCTTAAATAAACTAGTTGTAGATTATGATGAGATAATGCTATTTAGGAAGTTTCAGGGGGATGTTAATAATTTGATAAAAAAACTACTACCTATATAAAATGATTCCAGAAGCCCTATTAAAAAAAAAAAAACTTTTAGCCCTGATGATAATCCTTATGTTTAAGTCAAAGCATCGTCAACTAAAATAAAAATATTTTGACTAAAAATTTTCTATATAATAGTTATAAAAAAAATAAATAAATAAAAGATTCAAAAAAAATCCATCTCTATGTTACAATATTAGAATGAAGAAGTGAATTCTTATTCAAATAATCCAAGTAAATTTCATTTATATATTACTCACAAGTATAGTTGCGGAATTATAAGAATATGGCTTTCAGATTAAAATTGAAGGGCAAAATTTTACTAGTTATCCTGAACCAAAATTAAATTTTGAAATTCTTTATAACTTAGAAATGTTGATATAACTATAGTACTTACATATCTACAATGGGCCAGAAATATATGATTTTACGTTACCCTCAAAACTAATAACAAATCATTCCCGCACTGTCATTTCACAACTACCTGAAAAATTAGTTTGTCACAAATGGGATCTATATTACGCCCTGAGAAAAAATGAGCACGTAATCTCCAATTAACGAAAGGAAAAGTTTTTTGCAAACTAATTTCACTATAACTTTTTGAAAAAAAACAAAAAAAAAAAACTCATTTTTCCTCAGAGCGACAACCTTAAAACTATTTCAGAACAGTTCAATTCAATAAGTGTTGCCAACCATTTTAAAAGTTGTGTCTTCTGAAGCTGTTAGTTTCACTGATATAGTGGGACACTCTATAAAATGTCAAAAGTTTAATGAAATAAGTGAATTTCATTAAATATGTATTAAACTTAAATTAATAAATTTCTATAAATTCATATATAATATCTTTAAAGTGAACAATTGGAGCATAAGTTTAAAATTATCAAAAAAAAAAAAAAAAATCTTCAAGAAGGAAAATTTAAATTAACACAACATAAAATAAAGCAATGAGAGACAATAATTAAAATACAAGAATTTATTCTATTAAGGATTCCAATAAAAATAAAAAACTTTTAAAAAATATGACCTGGCAATAGAATAGGTATCAAACATGTCTTGTTTTCTATTAGTCAATATATTACATAAAAAAAAAAAAATAAGTGTCAGGTCAGGATGATGGTTGGGCCAAGATCACAAGGGTCATGAGTAAAGTTGTGTGACGTGCACAACGCACCACATTTTCATTATCTTCAATTTAAAACATAAAAATTATTTTGATATGCAACATTTGACATGCAATATAACATTAACGTTACGCTGAAATAAGTTCACAATGCTATCTATATTTATTGACGGGTGAAAATTATGCGTCCGTGATTCGCAAGTCAATAGGAATCTGTGGATTGGTTTCCACTATACTCTTTCAGATAAACTCAAGCTATTTTCAGCATTTCATGCATAGTGTGTTTATGTGATCTTGGCCCATTTGTCATTCAGATGTAAAAATCATGAACAAGTACCAACGAAAAAAAAAAAAATTAATGAATTCTGATTCCAGATAAGGTAACATAAAAAGGATCAAGGTAATCTATAATAAAATCAGGCATGTCGAAGCTATAGTAGGTAAGTTAACTTAAAAATTGAATGATACGAGCTGTTTTATAAATTGTACTTAGTTAACTCTATATCTGGTTGGCATCACTGTCGACAGAAAAAAGACCAGTTCATTATAATGGATGAAAAAAGAAGATAGCATTTAAGGAATTACATAATGCGAATGATGATATACATAGCAAAATTTATGAAAAGACAATATAAAATTAAATTTATTAAAAATATTTATGAAGAAAAAAAATAGAATAAAAATTAACAATAAAGATCAAAATCTTACAATCGACATTATTCCACCTCCACATCCAACATCCAGGATTTTAATACCATGCATATATTGAGGAGATGCACAGACTTCATCTTCTTTCAGTCTTCCAGTATTAATTAAGCCTGTTCTTATAAAAGGAATCCTAAAAAATCAAACAAAGAAACTTAAGGACTGTTATAATAGAATGTATAACATCAAAAATAGTAGATAAGGCAAATGATATATTAAATAGAAAGATATTTGTTCGATAACGTGGTTAATGCAATTAATTGTATGTATGTTATTAATGTAATCCATATAACTCTAGCGACGAGGGAAAAATATGAAGTGTTTAAAAATTGATGCAAAGCCAATAAAGTGAAACAGGAAAATACCTTATTCGCATAAATTCCCAATATATAAACTAAATCAATGAGGCGCTACTAATAAAATTAAATGGATTACAGGATAAGTTCATTTAAGGCTTCCATAATATAAAAATAGACTTACAAATTGGGTAAATAGGTAAAGATAATACTAGCACAATTAAAAAAAAACATGAAATGTACTTTTAAAAGAATATAATTATCAAATCTATATTTTCAGCTAAAGGTAAAATTAGGTCAATCTTAAAACATGCATTCCATGTTTGCTAAACTAGATGCATATTAAATTTTTGAATATACATGATCTAAACAAAAGTTAAATGAAGTATTAATTTTTTTAATTAAATAAATAAAAATAAAAAACTGAGAATAAAATAACTAACAATGAAAATTTAAATATAAGGTTTAAAACATCCCAAATTGAGCAATATTTAGTTTTATTTAAAAAAGTATTACAGATGCTTCGATTAAATTGATTGAGGATTAAGATAAATACATATCACATTACAACCAAATAATCTCTAAATTCTAAATAAATTCAATGAAGAAATATCATGGATTTATACGGTTTAAAGTGAAAAACAAAATTGTAATATTCAAATGAAATAACATAATTTCATTCCTTAAGTTGGTCGATGAATTTACTAACGAAATCTTATCATATGTTAATAATTTTAAGGAAACGTGTAATTCAACATGATAAAATAACTCACAGTTATAATAATAAAATGAATAGTTCTTCATTTAACATACAAGTTTCCAACAGAATGAAAGAAGAAATCTATTTTTATTTTCAGTCTGATTTTATAACTGTAATATGAATAACTCGATAGTTCAAAGTGACAAACGTGTAGGAGCACATTAATAAAAATTAATGTGCTCCTACAAGATGCAAGAGTAAATTTACATTATGACAAATTAATAATTATTATAAGCATAAATGCTCGGATCTAACATATGGAATTATTTTAAATCGTTACGAGCAACAATTTTAATATGATATCCATGCAGAATCATGTCAATATTAATATATAAGAATAAGGTATTTTCCTGATTGCATCCAATAATAATAGAATAATTCAAACATGGTAACACAGTAGCGAAAGCAATGCATTTAACAGTATACCATAATGTTACAAAATTAAGTAGTACGGAAAGCTATAAAGGAAAATTTGATGAAAATCATCAATAAAATTAACTAATGTACAAGATATTCACTGACACTGAAAGCAGATTAGACTAAAATCATTAAAAATCTCATTACAACATACCTTACAGCATTCATAGAATGCAATGCTCTCATGGGTCCATTCTTTTCATCCCACCAGTCATCAGCATATTGCTTATGATGATCAATTTCTTTCTGATCCACTGAGGACCTAATGAAATCTTGTTTGGAACTACTCAAGCTGAAATTCCTAAAAAAAAAAAAAAAAAAAAAAAAAAAAAAATACTATAGACTATTCGCAAAATTTAAACTTGAAACCAGATAGGTAATTTAAGATTAGAAAAAAAAAACCTTGATTTTTGAAGGCGGACCGAACGAACTACCCTGACACAGAACATCTCTAGAACTGACTCACGAATGCAGTCTGCGTTCGTTATATAAGGAAGGTTACCCTAGTACAGTAACCTGATCATTTAGGGATATAAACCTCTTTTTCTTTTTCATTTTTTTTTTTTTTAAATATATGTATACATCGTGAAATTACAAAATAAAATATTAATATGATATTTTATGAGAGTATTTACTACAATTAACTAACACATATTTAATGCCGCAGTATACTATATAATAAATTATTTCAAAAATATATAAAATATCTTGTTTATATAATCACAAAATAACTTTTTGGCTATTCTTTTTTCTTTTTTGTTTTTTTTACAATAGTCTTGTCACTTTAATCCCATCATTATGTAGTTTTACCTTGAAGCGTGGAAATTTTTCTAATTAAGAAATTCCGTTGGAGAAAGCTTCCTAGCTTCTTCTACTTACTTATGTACGTAGTAATTGCTCTAAAAAATATTAAGGTGTGTTTAGTCATTTCACAAACTATGGAAAACAGATATCTAAATGTTTTTTTTCTCTATGCTTTTTTGTTTTTGATGTTTTGCATCTGCTGTCGGTAACAATTGAAAAAAAAAAGGTGAGTTTTGCTCTAATGTTGCTGTTAGTAAAGTTAAATGATAGTTTAGAATAATAATAGTCATTAAACACTCGTCCAACCTACATTTTAACGTTCATTAATTTCTTAAAGAATACATCGATACACTATTTAGGAGTTATATGTGAAAATACAAAAAAAATAAATAAAATGGAAAGAATATGTCTTCTTTTTTTTTCTGTAAAATGTTTTCCCTTAGTTGTTCGCGTTAGCAATTTTGGTTTCAGCATATTTGAACCCATATACACAAGTTAATAAAAAATGACAACTTTTCTCTCATTTTTTACAATATAGTTTCCGTTTTTATCCTCTAATTACTGACAAATATTCTTTAAAGCAGCAGCTCTGGAATGGCTGACAATGTTCATTTTACTTATAATTACACTCATTTTCGAAATTTGCATCCAAACCTTGGGAAATCGTTCGCTGTGCTGGTGTTGAGTCCAGTTTCCCTCAGTAGTTTGGCCCTTATTGACTCAAAATCGATGCAAAGTCGTAACGACATAAACATATAATAATAAAAAAGAGGGATTCAAAGTTATTAATTAAAAATTTTCCACATTCAAGGGACCGGATTACTTCAAGGCTCACTAGGGTCACATAATACCGGAGTCAGCACGTTAAAAACTATTTAAAATAAAACTGAACCCAAGGTTTGAATTCACTCTGTTTTTTATACACTTTATTGATTTACCTAATTATTATATTATTTTCATTTGGAATATTTTCACATTAGCTTCAAGATGGTCGGCAAAAACAGTCTTTTTTGAGAATCTAAACTTAAAATCCGTACTTTCTCATTTAGGTTTTATTAAATTATTTATTGAAGATTTTAATTCAATCTCAATATTATAACATAAGAATGTGATGTCACAATGAAGGATACATGGTCATGGGAACTTCTTTCTTTTAGCCTGTAACACTGAACGCTTTGTAAATAAATTAATTTAAATAAATCTAGTCATTAATTTATGTCTATGATAATACATCACAGCAAATGGAAAAAAATAATTTAAAGCTTTGCAATAATTTATTGTAGTTACTATTTTTTTCAAAACACGGGTACTTTAAGGTGACAGAATATGGAAACATCTCATTTTTTGCTTCCTCACTACCGAAGGTAGGGAAGCATTGTATTCGTGCGAGAGGTTAAAAAAAAGATAGTGCTCAGAATCGAAAATTTCCACTCGCGTTTTACGTTTTTAACATCAAGGATCAAATTTGGTTCGCTGTCTGTCTGTCTGTAGTCAAATCGATGAAACGGGCATATCACCTACTACCGTTTATCCGATTTTCATGAAATTTTCATGAATTGTGCAGATTGGTGTCTAGAAGGTCTCACATCAATTTTATTAAATTCTAACCAGCACTTCCGCTTACGCACTCTCAAACTCATTTTTGTAGATATGCCAATATTTCAGAAACGGCTCGTTCGATTCGGCTCAAAGTTGGGTAAAAGGTAAGCATTTGTGAAAAAATAATGTAGGGTCAATTTTATTTAATTCTGTCCGTTGATTTTTCATATATATGTGCAAAAGTGTTTTCCTTGATACGTCTATATCTCTTTAACAGCAAGTTCGAATTGGCTCAAATTTGTAGAGAATTTAGGAATTGATAAACGTAAAATGAAATAGACATGAATTTTATCAAATTCTATCTAATATTCCAAGCATTCGATTTGAGACAAACTTGGAGAAAATTTGGAGAACAGTGTAGAAATTACGGAGTATCAATTTCATTTAATAATTAAAACTGATATAAATAATTTTTAACAATATAATGGCTGTGAAATGTGGAAGGCACTGATCATATGGAGTGGGAGTTAGGTTATTACAATATTGTTATGGGGTTATAAAATTTTAGGTTTTATTTTAAAAAAATTAAAAGGCTCAGAGAATGAATTTGTGTGGTTTATAAAAGTAGATGGAGTGATTAGATTTTTATTGCCTACCGTCGATACTATAAATAGACTTTTAGTGATTATGACAGTCGTAATGATTTTTTATGTGTAAGCTGTAAGCTTTAGCTTCGCTTAAAATGCACTTCAAACATTTTCTAATAACCCAGCATTGCCAGAAAATAATTTCTATTCATAGTAGAGCGGTAAGTGAAAGTAGTGTGTTGCGCGCAACAGATTTTTTAATTTCACAACATAGCTTAGTTTCTTCGCTCAATGGTCCTCTTTAAATGGTTTTAATATTAACAAACTCGTCTTTCCTTTGAAGAAATTATTTTTTCTAGTTTATAGTGAAGCAATTGTTAATTAATTATATTAACTAATGTTTCAGTTATCGCTTCCTATTCATCAAAAAACATGACTTACTTACCTTTATGAGGGGTGCTCTTCAGAGGGCCCAAAATCATTGTTTCGTATTTTTCTAGTACCTCAAAAATAATTGTTTCGTATTCATTTATTTCCACAATTTTTTGAAAACCCTTCGATGGATACTCAATATAATTTTGTTAGTGTATATAAATTTTCCAACTAGAAATATCACTAAAATGACAATACTAAAAAATGTTGAAATTGGAGTTAGTCATTCTGTCAACTGAAAGGTACATATAATAACAACTAGTAGGTCCGTGCGAAAAATTCGCACAGCATATTGTTTTCAAATGGGAAATTAATAAGAAAATAAAATAATGCAACGTATCAAAATATAAAGAAATCAATTGTTACTTTATCGATACATATAATCGACAAAGGAAACAACAATTAATTTAAATCTTCATTAATGTTTGGAACCAACATGTTTACAAACTTCAATAACCTGCATCTTTGCTAAAAATTGTCCGATTTCGATGATTTTTTTTTTCCTTTTGTAGGGAATTTAGTAATCTTTTATATAATCATGGGTACAATTAAGGGAAAAATGTGCACTTTTTTAGTTTGATTGTACTATTTTGTCCGCCTGAAGGAGAAGGAAACCTTCGAAATTGATATTCAATCTAGAGATTTGGTGAAGAATTAACAATGATATGGCTTGTCGATCAAAAATACCATCGATAAATAATATAAAATCCTCCTCTCTCGACCATAGAGTCCTCAAGTCGACGAAATGAGACATGTATTCGATGACAGTACTACAATTAACATAAGGTTGTGTGAAGGAAATTTAAGGTTTATGTTTTTTTAAGCGTCACGTTTTTTGTTGAATAGAAAGCGATAACTTAAAAAATGTATGATTTAAGTAATAAGTTACTTCATTGCATTTTTAGGAATTTTTATAGTAAGAATATCCGGTCTCTAGTTATCATACAATCCCCACTTATATTATTACAGTAAAGCTCGAAATCGGTTTTGTACCAAATATAAGTTTCTACCATGCTCAACTACTATGAATGGGGTACAGTTGGATTCAGAATTTCACGGGGGGTTAGCAAATCGTATTCTCCACTTTTGTTTTTCTTTCTAAAATAAATAATGTTGGTACAAATATTTTATTAGGCTTCAATACAGGAACGGTGGTAGGTCTGTATATCGATACGGGACAAATTGGACCTTGAAGATTTTGATGCGAACAGCAAGACCCGGATAGTCCCCCGGAACTATCGGATCCTGTGTTTTTAAACCCCAAAACGTACTATTTTCCAGATAACGCAAGGCATAGGGTTCGCATCCACACAACCTTACGTTAATTCTAGTACTGTCATTGAATACATGTCTCATTTCGTCGACTTGAGTACTCTACGATCGAGAGAGGAGTTTATATTATTTATCGATGGTATTTTTGATATCATCGTTAATTCTTCACCAAATCTCAAGATTGAGCCACCAATTTCGAAGGTTTCCTTCTCCTTCAGGCGGGCAAAATAGTCCAATCACCCCGAAAATTCAGGCAAACAAGTTATGAAAGAAAAGAAACTTTATTTGCGAATAACTAAAAAATTACACACTTTTTCCTTGGTTATGCCCATGATTATATAAAAGATTACTAAATTCCCAACAAAAGGAAAAAAAAAAATCATCGAAATGGTTTAGAAATTTTTCCATTTTTTTTAAAATTTTATTATATTTTTTTCTCATTTTCGATTAATATTCATTAGGAGAGTTCTAACAGCCTATTTTTAAAAAATAAGGATTACTAAATTCCCTGCAAAAGGAAATAAAAATCATTAAAATCGGACAATATTTAGCAAAGATACAACTTATTGAAATTTGTAAACATATTGGTTCCAAACATTAATTATGATTTAAATTAGTTTTTGTTTCTTTTGTCGATTATATGTATCGATAAAGTAACAATTGATTTCTTCTTCTTCTTGATTTCTTTATCTTTTGATTCGTTGCATTATTTTCTTTTCTTATTAATTTAGCATTTGGAAATAATATGCTGTGAGAATTATTCGCACGGACCTACTAGTATTTAAAACAGGAACTAAAACGGAAGATCCTTGCACTTCATGGCC